CTAGCTATAAGTTCAGTTGAGCAAAATTTGACCACCAACTATGTGTCCGGCCTTGTGCTGTACACTGAAGACACAGAGATGAATGAGGTGTGTTCCCAGACACAGAACCATAATTTCAGGGCAATGTGGTCAGTGCAGTAACACTGGTGGGTAGAATAGATTGTGAGAGCCCCTAAGGAATACACAACCCAGCTCAGGGGACCAAGGAAGGTTTCTTCGAAGAGATGGCATATGAACTAAATCTTAAAAGGTGAGTAGGAATCTTCTAGATGAACAAAGGGAGGAGAGGGCAATCCAGGCAAGGTGTATTAGTCAGGATTCTCTAAAGGGACAGAACTAATAGGATAGATGTCTATATGAAGGGGAGTTTATTAGGAGAATTGACTCACACGATCACAAGGTGACGTCCCATGAGAGGCCGTCTGCAAGCTGAGGATCAAGGAAGCCAGTCTGAGTCCTGAAACCTCAAAAGTAGGGAAGCCGACAGTGTAACCTTCAGTCTGTGGCTGAAGGCCTGAAAGCCCCTGGCAAACCACTGGTTTAAGTCCAAGAGTCCAAAAGCTGAAGAACTTGGAGTCTGATGTTCAAGGGCAGGTAGCATCCAGCACGGGAGAAAGATGAAGGCTGGAAGGCTTAGCAAGTCAGGTCCTTCCGTATTCTTCTGCCTGCTTTATTCTAGCTGTGCTAGCAGCTGATTAGTTGGGGCCCACCCAGATTGAGGGTGGGTCTGCCTCTCCCAGTCCACTGACTCAAATGTTAATCTCCTTTGGCAGCACCCTCACAGACACACCCAGGAACAAGACTTTGCATCCTTCAATCAAGTTGACACTCAATATTAACCGTCACACACAGGATACAGCATGGGCAGAGGCCCAAAAATGAGAAGCAGCATGGTGTGTGCCAGCCTGCCTAATGACACTCACAGTTTTTCTGTCCTTCCACGACCCCATCCTAGAAGACTACTAAAATGCAGACATGAGTTTGGGACCTTCCCTGACATGCTAATCTGTTAACTATTCATAAAATTAATAGAAAATTGGTGTGACATGACTGTCCACAAGCTTGCCCATATCAGCTTCCCATGTCCCTGGTTTCCTTGCCTAGACTCTGAAGTTTATGTGACTGGCTTCCTCTAGACCTCCTATGGGGTTCCGGTTACTCCCACTGTCCTGGTGGTTATGAGGTCTCCTTTGGCCCCATATGTGGAGATACTGTGAGGAGGGGTTTTTCTGACTTCTGATACTGGCTGTGGAGTAGAAACCCTCATTTTTCAGGGAATGGACAGGACCTGCTCATCCTGTCCTCGATACCGGGGTTCATCTCTCCTTGAGCTGCATTCACACCCATACTAATCCAGGAAAAGTGTATTGTGGATTCTGGCAGGCCCAATTTTAAAGCAGGGAGGCCCCACATCGTGGTTGTGTGACCTTAGCCAAGTTACCTCTTCTCTTTGAGCATCAGTTTCCTCATCAGTAAAAGGGGCTGCCCACCTGGGACTGTTGTTGTGGGTATTAAAGCATATGTAAAGTACCTGGCCCTGGGTACTTTCTCACCATTTATTGAACACCTACTACTGTCGCTATTAAAGGGAGAACAGCATAGTGGTGAGAGCATGAGCTGTAGATCCAGGCCAACCTGGATTTGGATTGCAGCTCAGCTACTTACTAGTGTTGTGACCTTGGTTGAATTTCCTGGCCTTGTTCAGCCTTAGTTGTATCATTTGTGAAATGTGGTGAATGTACCTAGTTTAGAGTCATTTGTGTGTGATTATAGTAGTGTATAATATGCAAGATGGGGGCCTTCACAGATCCCAGGCCCCTCCCCAGCCTGCCCTCTTCAAAGACACCTCCCCCTGGGGACCTGCCTCTTCCTCAGCCTCCTCTTCTTTCTAAGTCTATCAGAGAGAACCAGGCTGCCCCCTCAGAGTCATAGAATCACCTTCTTAAGGGAACTTTTTTTTTTTTTTTTTTTTGAGAACAGAGCCTTGCTCTGTCACCAGGCTGGAGTGCAGTGGCACAATCTCAGCTTACTGCAACCTCCACCTCCTGGGTTCAAGCGATTCTCCTGCCTCAGCCTCCCGAGTAGCTGGGACTACAGACGTGCGCCACCACGCCCAGCTAATTTTTGTATTTTTAGTAGAGACGGGTTTCACCATGTTGGCCAAGATGGTCTGGATCTCTTGACCTCATAATCTCCCCGCCTCGGCCTCCCAAAGTGCTGGGATTATAGGCGTGAGCCACCGCACCCAGCCCTTAGGGAAATTTTCTAATGTTAAACTGCTCTTGCATTTCTGGGATTAAACTCAATATTTTTATGTTGTATTAAATCTTATTTTATTCATTCTGGATGTGGTTTGCTAATAAATTGTTTAGGATTTTTGCATCTTTAGCCATCTGTATTTGAATGGTTAAGTTTATAATGATCTCATCCAATAAATATGTGAGTTTTCTAGGAATTGGTCCAATTCATCTAAGTTTTCAAATTAATTATATTCTCTTATTTTAAATTTTTTGCTGTATCTTTTATGTTGTTCATGTTATTTGTGCCTTTTCTGTTTTGTGGGGGTTTTTTTTGTTAGTCCCTCCTAAGATTTTTTTTTAGGCTGGGCATGGTGGGTCACGCCTGTAATCCCAGCACTTTGGGAGGCCAAGTCAGGCGGATCATCAGGTCAAGAGATCAAGACCACCATGGCCAACATGGTGAAACCCCGTCTCTACTAAAAATACAAAAATTAGCTGGGCGTGGTGGCACATGCCTGTAGTCCCAGCTACTCGGGAGGCTGAGGCAGGAGAATTGCTTGAACCCGGGAGGTGGAGGTTGCAGTGAACTGAGAACGCACCACTGCCCACAGTCCAGCCTGGTGACAGAGCAAGGCTCTGTCTCAAAAAAAAAAAAAAAAAAAAAAAAAAAAAAGCACAGATTTTTTTTTTTTTTTAGCAACTGGCCTTGAAAGCTTACCATGTATATTTAACCTAAATTCCAAGGTTAAACCTACTCCCCACCCAAACAATTCACAGACTTTATAAATCTTTAATGTCCCCCAATTTACATGTTATTATGTCTACTGTTTTTGTCCTCCCTTATTAAGGACTACACTAACAATATTGTTATTTTATGTGCAGACATTGTTTGCTTAGATTTAAATACTCATTTACCTTTTATTTGCCCACCTTTCTTCTTTTACCTCAACTGTTGTTTTTTTGGGTGATTTTTCTTCTTCTTGAAATATATACAGAACTTTAGAAGATCCTTTAGTGTAGATCACTTAATTAGAAAGTCTTAGTCTGTTTATCTATAAATGCCTTTTTTTCCTTTTATTCTTCTTAAGATAGGTTTGATAGGTACCCAGTTCTAAAGTACCTTTTTAGAAGGATATTAAACACTGACACTAAGAGGACATTATGACACTCTTGTCTAGTTTCCATGATTACTATTGCAAAATCTACTGTTACTCTAATTGGTTTTTTTTTTTTTGTAGGTGTTCTTTTTCTCCGGCTGCTTTGAAGGTCCTTTGATTATTGCATGACTCTAAGATCTCTTTAGTTGGTGTTGTCTTGCAAATGTTCCTTTTTATAGCTTCCTAATCTTGCTTCATGAATGTATCGTTTTCTTCTTTTCTTCTTGTGGCTCTGATGACATTAAATAATAATGTCTTTTTTTAAAGTGTTCTTTTCCCTGCTTTTTTTTTTTTTTTTTTTTTTTAAGAGGCTCACTCTATCACCCAGGCTGGAGTGCAGTGGCACAATCTCAGCTCACTTCAACCTCCACCTCCTGAGTTGATTGTTCTGCCTCACCCTCCATGTAGCTGGGACTACAGGTGCCTGCCATCACACCCAGCTAATTTTTATATTTTTAGTAGAGACAGGGTTTCACCATGTCAGTCAGGCTGGTCTCAAACTCCTGGCCTCAAACGATCCACACCCCTTGGCCTCCCAAAGTGCTGGGATTACAGGCATGAGCCACCACACCCATCCCTACATAATTTTTGTTTCCAAACATATATATTTGGTTGTCAGCAGCCGTGAGAAACTCACTGACACCAGATTTGGCCAAAGGCACCAGAGATAACACATGTATGACATATTCTAAAGCCTTAGAATTTTGTATGAATGGTGGGCAGGGAGCCCCTCTACTGTGTGCAAACATGGGTCGGTGCCACAATTCTGTCACTTGCGAGTATGGTAGTGCAGTAGCCTCGAGCCAGACTGCCTGGATTCAAATCCCAGAGCTGGTCAAGTCACTTGACCTCAATCTTCTGTAGTTTCTTTTTTAAAAATGGGGATAGTGGTGTCATAGCTCTTTTAGAATTTGCCTAGCAGGTTTTCTGGGTTTTGCCATAACACCCCCTTAAAAAATAAATAAAACAAAAATGGGGATAGTAGTAATACGCACTTCATAGGATTATTGAGGGTATTAAATGAGTTAGCCTACATAAAGTATTTAGAATAATGCACAGCATGTAGTAAGCACTGTTTATGTGTTTGCTATTACTACCATTGTTACTTTTGCAATGAGGTGATTGAAGCAAGGAGAGCTTCTATGGTGCAATGGGGAAAAGAGTATATCCTACCCTGTGTGTTCCTCTAATATCTTGGAAACAAAAGCCATCCACAAAAAAACACAGGGTCAGGAATTTGAAGGGATTATTTGGGCCCTTAGAGTGTGGGCTATCGAGTAGGCAGTCAGAATGGGATAGAATTCTTCAGTGGGAAGAATTGGATATTTCCTTTTTGGAGCAGAGCAGTACCATATGGGGGAGCAGTGACAGAGGGGTTAATCTAGGGTCAGGGGATTTCCTAAGCAGTTAATAATGCTTTTCTCTTAGGAACTAACCTGTCAGGTACTGAGAGGCTTTGAAGATAGCTCTTCAGGCTGGGGACATGCCTTTGTTAAGGGGCAAGACTGCTGCCAGGAGTTGGTTCACATTCTCAGAGGTAGGATTGACCACATAAAAAAATGCTTTCAAATCTTTGTTCTAAATTTTCTTTGGCCCTCCCTAGGTTTGGGGAAAGTCTCAGCCTCAGTAACCATCCCAGACACAGTCCAGAGGATATGAGCAGGCGGAGTGGGTCATACGGAAAACAGGTGCGTGGTGGGGAGGCAAATTTGAGGAGCCATTAGTATTAAAATGGGAAGCTCAAGAGATACAAAAATTCTAAACAAAGCTTTATCAAATCAAATCCAATAATGTATTAAAAGGATAATGTATCATAACAAAATGGAATGGAATTTATTCCAGGAATGCAGGATTGGCTTGACATTAAAAAATCAATCATGCTTATGGGCGGGTGTTGAACAATGAGAACACGTGGACACAGGGAGGGGAGCATCACACACTGGGGTCTGTTGGGAGGGGGACTAGGGGAGGGGCAGTAGGGGGTGGGGAGGTTAGGGAGGGATAACATGGGAAGAAGTGCCAGATATAGGTAACGGGGTGATGGAGGCAACAAACCACCTTGCCATGTATGTACCTATGCAACAATCCTGCATGATCTGCATACGTACCACAGAACCTAAAGTACAATTAAAAAAAAAAATCAATCATGTAATTCAATATATTAACAAACCAAAAAAGAAAACCCATGTGATTATTGCAGTAAATGCAGAAATGGCATTTGACAACATCTAACATCTATTCCTGATTTTAAAAAACAAACACCTCTTGGCAAACTAGAAATGGAAAGGAACTTCTTCAATCTGATATAGGGCATCTGCAAAATAACCCACAGCTAACATTATATTTAGTGGTAAAAACTGAGTGCTTTCCCCCCAAGATCAGAAACAAAACAGAGATGTCCACTCTCACCATTTCTATTCATCATTATACTGAAGGTCCTAGGCAGTGCAGTCAAGCAAGAAAAAGAAGCAAAAGGCATCCAAATTGGAAAGGAAGAAGTTAAACTGCATTTACAGACAATGTGATCAGCTATGTAGAAAATCCGACTGTGTCCACCAAAAATAAAACCCTACTAGAACTAATAAGTGAGTTTAGCAAGTTGCAGGTTATAAGATCAATATACAATAATTAGTTGTATATCTGCATACTAACAATGAACAGTTGGGTACAGAAAATTTTAAAATACCATTTATAAATAACGTCTAAAAATGTGACTTAGGAATAAATCTGACAAAAGATGTGGAAGACCTGTACACTTATGTTGCTGAGAGAAAGAGGAGTAAAATTAATGAAAAACATGCGTGCATTGGAAAACTTAGTATTGTTATAATGTCAGTTCTCCCCAAATTGATCTATAGTTTAAATGTAATTGCTATTAAAATCTCAGCAGTCTTTTTGAAGAAATTGATAAACTGATCCTAAAATTCATATAGAAAGGCACTACAGAGCCTGGTATGCTGTGTAAAAACCCTGGGTAGGGTCCAGCCTTCCCACAGGATTAGGATTATCAGTGGAGCCCATATAGAGAGGAGAAACAGTAGCAGGGCCTCCAGTTGCAAACAGGTCTACAGAGGATATGAACAAGCAATTTCCTGAAGTGGAAAACCCAAAAAGCTAACAGGTGTAATAAAAGATGTTCAGATGTATTAACAGAAAAGTCTAAAATAAAACTACAATGAGATTTCACTTTAGATCTCACAGATAGACAAAATTTTAAAAAGCTCAATCATGCCAACTCCTTTAGTGGGGATATGGGGACATAGGAATCCTCATACATTGAGAGTAGGGACTTTGGCAGCCATTCCAGAGATAAATGTGGCAGTACGTAGTCAAATTCACTATCCCCATAGGCACTCCAAAGAAATTCTCCACAGGTCCATAAAGGGTCATGTAGGAAAGTGTTCATTATGGTGTCGTTTGCAGCAGTGGGAAGTTGAAGGCATGTTGCATGTCCATCACCGGGGGACTACACAGGGAAATAGTGACAGGTGCACTCCAAAGAGGACCTCTTAACCTTTAGGCCAGTGAGTTAGATGTACATAGGGCAACACGATGATCTTCGACACGTAGTACTGAGTGGAAAAGAATGAACCATATAACAATACTACTCACAAATTACAAATATATGCACATTCACACCAAATATACACCTTACAGAAATGCACACAAAAGGATATAAGTTAAACACATTTGAAAAATGCCTATGTCAGGGAGTTGGGAGGAATGGGAGCATGGATGACGGAATAAATAAAACAAGAAGGCGGTGGAATTGCCAAGCACAGTGGCTCACACCTGTAATCCCAGCACTTCAGGAGGCCGAGGCAGGCAGATCACTTGAGCCTAGGAGTTCAAGACCAGCCTGAGCAACATAGCTAGACCTCATCTCTACAAAAAATACAAAATTAGCCAAGCGTGGTGGTACGTGCCTGTGGTCCCAGCTACCAGGGAGGCTGAGGTGGGGGGTTCCTTGAGCCCAGGAGTCTGAGACTGCAGCGAGCCAAGATTGCACCACTGCACTCCAGCCTGAGTGACAGAGTGAGACCCTGTTTCCAAAAAAAAAGAAGAAAAGAAAGGGGGAGGAGAAGAAATAGCAGAAAGTGTCTATTCCCTTGGCCTAGTCACCTACTCCTCATGGCATGCATCCTTTAGAGCCTGCTCTTCACTGAGGAGGAAACAGCCCCACCTACACTCTGTTAACCTGAGGCCAGAATGCTCAGGTGAGTCTGGCTCAGACGGGCTGTACTTGGCTGGTTTTGAGTATGTGCTGCCCCAGCTCCTGCATACCCTCCCACCAGCACTGCAGCTGCCTGGAGCAGGTGTGGACATGCATTTCACCCCACAGAAGTTGCCTGCTGTGATCTACTATTGAGGGTGGGGGCTGGTCACAGAGCGATTAGAAGCGAAGAGTCAGAGCGACCCACTCCCCATCAAACCATGTGGTAACCAGACAACTAATTTCTGTTCTGCACAATAGCCCTGCCAGTGCCCTGACTGTGCTGAGACGTGGGTGTATTTTCCTGGCCCCATTCAGAACCTTACCCTCTGACTTCCCGAGAAGCAGCTCTTGTAAACTCTTAGGGAAACGGAAGCCAGACTCACTGTGACTGAGAAATTCTTTTCAGCTTATCCTCTCCTGAGAACTCATCACCTAATTGTCTCAATACTGCCCTTTCCCATAACCAGCTAGGTGCGTGCTTGCCGTTCGGTTTTCAAAACAAAACAATACCTTGTTCAGTGATACATACATGAGAGGTGAAGTTTTCTTAAAAAACAGGCCAGGTGTGGTGGCTCACACCTGTAATCCCAGCACTTTGGGGGGCCAAAGCGGGTGGATCACCTGAGGTCAGGAGTTCAAGACTAGCCTGGCTAACATGGTGAAACCCCGTCTCTACTAAAAATACAAAAATTAGCCAGACATGGTGGTGTGTGCCTGTAATGTCACCTATGTGGGAGACTGAGGCAGGAGAATCACTTGAACCCAGGAAGCGGAGGTTGCTGTGAGCTGAGATTGAGCCATTGCACTCCAGCCTGGGCAACAAGAATGAAACTCCGTCTCAAAAAAAAAAAAATTTTTTTTTTTTTTTTCTCACAAAAATCAAGGAAATGAGAACGTAAAAGTCAAGGTAGTGGTTTCTTCTGGGCAAGGGAAGGAGGTGAGGGATCCACAGGAGGCTTCTCAGGCACTATAATGTTCTAGTTCTCAAGCCAGCTGGTGGGTAGATGGGTGTTTTCTTACATGTCTTTAAACTGTACATGGAGGTTTTCAAAACCTTTCTCTATGTTGAATACATTTAAAAGTTTGAAAAGAACACAAAGAGATTTCAAACCTAATTATATTTGCACTTATCAGAACACATAGAATCAAAGAGAATGACAATAACCACATTGGAATATCTGCCTATGATGGAGAGGGTGTTAGAAATGGTAGTGAGGAATGAAGATATAGTGGAGTAAATAAGTGAATAAGTAAATAAAAAGATATGCATTTTATTGGTCAAAGATAACAATGTAACATGACCAGTGGAGTATACTTCCTCCTCCTTCTGCACCTGAGATTCAAAGGAAAAATAAATATTGAACGTGATCAAGACACCTGATCCTACTAAATCTGATTGATGCAAAACCAACAGGTACAAACTTAAATCACCTGAGTACCCAAAAGATTGTTATAATCAACTAAGTCATTGCCACAGTAAGTTTTCTGAGGTGAAGGATTTTGAAGGCTCCTTCAGAAGTTGGTCATTTCTCCAAAGTTTTTTTGGGATTGCTTCCCAACATTCCTGAAGGATTTCAAATGTGGCCCTTGGCTCATTAGCCCATTTAACAGTAAAACTCAAAAGCCAGTGGAGAAAGCAGGGGACTGAACTCATGTCCCTACAGGAGCAAAAGACCAAACCTTCATACCTTAGAAGTACAGTCCCATGTTGAACCATGTCTTGGAAATTGCCTCTGTAGCTTGAACACAAACAAAAACCTGGGTGTTGGAAAAATGTGTGCTTGATTTAATTTCACCCATCCTGAGACTAGAAAAAAATCATGGGGGTTATATTGAGTCTGCCCTTGGCCAAAGTAAGTCACATGTGCCTTGGTCACCCCTAGCCACACTCTCTCTCCTATTATCACCCAATCCTAGTGTCCCTATCTCCACTGATGGGCAAATGGATATTTCCCCTCAACACTGAGGCCACCTATTCTACCTTGTCTCTGCACTCAGGTTGCCTCATCAGATCTGCTGTGGGCAGCAGTTATAGTTGAGATCATGTCAGTTAGCTTTTATGAAATGAAGCTAATTTCACCATAGGGTGCTTCATTGAGGTATGTGCCTTCCTGCCTAACCTTGTATGTCTGCGGACATACCGGGTAGACATATTTCTTGCAAACAGCATAGTAATGTGCTGCAGGCCAGTTGGACTATAACCGGACCTCCCCATGCAATTCGTATCACCCTGGTCCGACCCACAATAGCTGACTTGATGGGTTGAGCCCCTACAGAAGTCCCAGCCAACTTGTGGACAGCTGACCTTAATAAAGGAGGGCAGCTGCTTAGGGTGCTCCCATTAAAATCAAAATCACACAGTACCTATTGCCATCTTCTTGCCCCAGTGTCTACTTTCCATACTGGCAGAAGAGGGAAATGAGCCCATCATCAATGTCCTCCTCAAACTGGGTGTCTTAATGCCAACCCAGA